GATAGATCAATCAATCAATCAATCAATCAATCAATCAATAAATAATTTTAAATGCTTGGTTGTTGGCTGATGCAGATGATCTTAAAATGTTGTCTGATTAATCAGCTTAACTATAATAATAATAATAATAATTAAAGCTGCAAGCAGCATTTATCAGGGTTCAAGTGTATTAAAGGGTTAGTTCACCCAAAAATGAAAATTAGCCCATAAATTACTCACCCTCAAGTCTATGAGGAGTTTGAAAAAGTAGATTTTTCAGAAAATTCAAAATGTCCAAAATTACATCGGAGATGTATGTCTTGAGCCAAGGATTCCAATGATATAAGACACTTGAGTCTACGACAAACGGTCTAGGAGTTATGAGCAGTTTCGCGTTGTTGATCGCTGTAGCGCCCCCTATTGGCCAATCGGGGTCATACCTTGTCAGGCTCTCCCCAAATTGAGACCCACCATCTGGCCTGGTTTCAAGTCTCTAGGCCTTACGGTTTGGTCTGCACAATCAGTTTTACGTTGGAATAATAATAATAAAAATCCTAACAATTACAATAGGGTTTCAGCGCTACGTGCTTGAACCCCTAATTACATAAATGTGTTGCTTGTTCAAATTGTCAAGATGCGTGCTCACAAAAACATCTAATAGTATGATTGAGAGTGCATGTAAACACTCGATCGGATTGAACCCCGAAATTGAAAGGTCTGCACATGTGCAATGACACAGAAATATCGTAATGACGTATGACGCGCGGAACAAGCGTTTCTTCCTTTTGCATTCACAGCATTTACAAGTGTTGTAAATGCTTGTACTGTCATTATAAAACTCTCCTTTCACTCGGCAACTGTGAAGTGGAGCAGGACAACCTCCCACTAGTCCTTGTTTTGGATACTCATCCACAGGCAACCCGTTTTGGGCGCGGGGAGGGGCATTTTTACTGCGTGATAAATATGAGCAGCACGGCACAGCGGTTTATATGTAGGCCTATATTTATCCATAAATGGATAAATATCAATTCTGCTGTTAAAAACAAATAAAGAAACCGTGTAGGAGAGTGGTTATTATGTGCAAACAGTGAGAAACTCTATATTTGTTCAGTGTGCGCATGTCAAAAAAGATCAATTCCGATTTGAAAGTTTGTGACATATAAATGCACACATCAACCCGATCACTTTATTTAGCGTTCATGTAAACACTACATTCAGATTCATCAATCGGAATGAATTCAGTCCAATTGAACCAAAAACTGTGCATGTAAACGTAGCCAGTGAAACCATAGCCACATCTTTTAAGCTCAGAAGTTCAAATCAGTGTAATGAATCCCTCACTGAAAACTCTATATTTGTGCAGTGTGCACATGTAAAAAAAAAAATCAATTCCGATTTGAAGCCTATAAACGCGCACATCAACCCGATCACTTTCTTTAGCGTTCATGTAGGCTAAACACTACATTCAGATTCATCAATCGGAATAAATTCAGTCCAATTGAACCAAAAATTGTGCATGTAAACGTAGCCCTTGAGACCTACCATCTGGCCAGGTTTCAAGTCTCTAGGCCTTATGGTTTGATCTGCACAATCAGTTTTACGGCGGAATAATAATAATAATAATAAAAATCCTAACAATTACAATAGGGTTTCAGCGCTACGTGCTTGTACCCCTAATAATAATACATTTCAGTGTTTTAACAACAGTTATAATTTTGTCAATTAAACAATTTTGTTACTCTGTTGGGTCATAAATGTCCAGTGTAAAATGAGCAAAGCAAAACTAACAGAACCAAAACCACTGGTCTAAAAATCTGTCTTTAAATCAAATTAATGTGAGTCAAAAAACCAACTGGCCTCAATGAAGATTTATCCATGTCATTCTGATTTATTGCAGCAAACACACACACGCACGCACGCACGCACGCACGCACGCACGCACGCACGCACGCACACACACACACACACACACACACACACACACAGACACAGACAGACAGACAGAGAGACAGACAGACAGACAGACAGACACAGAGACAGAGCACGTAGGAGTACTGCAATAAATTTGTATCTCTGCATGATAGGTTTGAAGACTATCATGAGATTATTCAACATGGGTTGAAATATTCATTGTGATGACTAATAGCCTAGTGTAATCTCATATAGGACATGTTTACTCTGAAAGACTGGTGAACAAATTAATTTCCAGGCAAGGATATTTAATACAGAAACCATCCAATAGACTCACTCTGGACTAATTATATTTTAATAGGAAATAAACCAAAGATTATATCAATTTATAATTAATGTGCTCTTATCTTGAGTATATTTTTCATTAGCCCAGTGGCTTTGGAGAGAGTTGGTTAGATCACCTCCTGTTTGAAATTCTTTTTAATGTGCCACGCTAGTCTGAGTGTTACTGCATTTACTCAACCTTTTTGTTTCTTCAGATGCATTGACTTTGAAATCAGCTCTTTAAAGTTTTGACATATGTTAATTTAAAGCTTGATAAAAAAACATCAAAAGATGAACTGTGGCATTTAACAGACCGAGGACCATGACAAATGTAGCAATTAACTGAGAATGATATAATGTCCATCATAAGGAATGTCACTCTCTTCTTGAGAGTCAGATCACTTGATCTGTTTCTTCCTTTATTAAATTAGGTACTTTTACATCAAGATACGATGTAACCTTTGCAAAATTACCAAGGAAACAACACTGAAGAAGATATGTTTTCATTCATCCAATTAAAAAAAAAATAGGGTAATGGTTCACATCTATATTTTATACCTTGAAACAATGAAAAATAAATAACTTGCCCTAAACAATATTTTCTTTGTCTATGAAAACTATTTTATAAAACCCGGCACAAAGTATATTTTTCTTGTTGAAGAAAGTCAATTTAAATTCTATTTTTGATCTAAACAAAAAGATATAGATTTGGTTTGACCTCACCATTATGGCGATCAGGGTTTGGTTTAGTTGGGCTCTTGACCATTGACTTTTTAATGTTAGTTTTTTTTCTGGCTGTTGTAACTGTGTTTGTAAAGCACATTTGTCATAGCAAGAAAGCCAAGAAAATCTGTGCTTAAATGAGGTGACAAACTATTATTAAGGATTTTAATAACATGCACAAAACCTTTAGAACTACAGCATCATTTAGACACAAACAGACATCAAGAATCAGCACATGAATCTCAACAATGGTGACAATCAAAAGCTTCATGCCGCAATGCTTACTGGGTACCAGCACAATACAAAACTCAACCATGACTCCCAGCATGCATTGCGGCATGAATAAATTATGCTGCTGAATTGTCCACTTATTTCTTTAATTCTTTCTATGTGCTTTTATTTTTGTTTTTGTGTTGAGTTTTAGTAGCCTGTTTTGTGATGTTGATTCATTTATTTATTTTGTTGATTGTCACCGTTGTTGAGATTCATACGCTGATTCTTGATGTGTGTGTTTCATTTAACTTTTTTTTTTTTTGTGAGTGATGTGTTTAACAATCTTTTATAACAGTCTGATCAGCACTGCTCATACTTTTGCTATAGTGTGATATTATAACATAGTTTTGATAAGAGAAAAGACACTTGATCAAATCAGTGAACCTGGTGTTTAATGATGATTATGTCATTAGCAAAACATAATCCACAATACTACATATTTTGCCTTGACCCTTTTTTATTGCAACAAATGTGTTTAAAAACACATACAGCAGCCAAAAAAAAGTCAATGTTAAAAAGTCAAGGGTCAAAAGCCCAACTAAAGCAAACACTGATCTCCATCATGGTAGTGTAAAAAAAAAAAAAACATCTAAACCTCAGTTCATTCTCATTAAGCACTTCTGTAGACGTCTGACAGAAATAGCATCAGTCTGTTGAGTGTTGAGTTAATTTAAAACATTATGCTGAGTTAACTTAAAATATTCTGGTCTGTTCAATTTACAACTAATAGCTAGCTCAAACACCCTAAAAATGATTTTCAGTGGCAAAGTATTTACAATTACAGTTGACTGTAATGTTTTATGGTGAATCAAGTTAAAATAGTTTGTGTGAATTATTACTCACATTTTTCTGGTTACACAGTGTTATAATATTTTTTCAGTGTAAGGTCAATGTTCAGCTCTTAGAAGTTAAAAATCTGACATTTTTTTCAGTGTAAATTTTTTTAAATTGGATGTATGAACATTTTTTTCCAGTTAATACTTTCTGACGGTCCAGTTGGGTCCTTCCTGCAATGCATTTTAACATATATTGGATAAAAGACTAAACTCACTCACGATCTTCAGATGGAAATCATATTAGTTAATTTATTTGAAGTTGCAAATTTTTGCCATGCTAGTGCATGTGAACCCTATATCTTCTGTCAGTGGTACATTCACACAGAAAGTGTTGGAGGACAAAATCTTTTGCACAAACTGCAAGCAGCCCCACCACAATCCTTTGTGAAAGGAAAAAAAAACAGGTCACCTAATTTTTGCTTAGTGTCTTGCAGGAAAATAGTTTTTTTGGACATTTTTACAGAACAGGTTACTTACTTTGCAGAAATGATCTCAAAACACTCACCCTCAATTTAGGCTAATTCTCAATGCTTACTTTAGCTCTTTATTTCCATTCTCTTATGCATCCTGCTAAACTTGCTATTGTGTAAATAATCAGGTTAAATGTATGCATCATGTATGTGTCAGAGGTTGACCATTTCTTCACATTTGGTATACCCTTTTGTAAAAAATATTTAAATTACTAAACAAATGTATAATAATTTACTGCATAAACTGAATGACCCAGTAGGCTACTACTGGCACACAGTTAATTCTAGCCTACTACCATCATTAAAACATGAAATTAAAATGCCACAAAGATGAAAGCAGATCCCATTTGAATTTGTTATAGTTTTACAGAAATAATAACCAGTACCAATCTCTCAACAAAGTAAGAGGAATTTCAATTTTCCAACCAGTATGTGTAACAGTGATTGTGGGGTGCAGCAGGTCACTGTTCTCATCAGTGTTTAAATAAAGTTTTTTTTAGAGGCTCTTTTTATTTCCAAAATGGCGGAGTACGATCTGACCACCAAGATCGCACATTTTTTAGACCGGCATTTGGTCTTTCCGCTGCTGGAATTTCTCTCTGTCAAGGAGGTAATATATAAATTACAGTAGTGTAAAGTATATACTTTGTTGTTCGGTTATATTGAATTGGTTAGTAGTCGCTAAATGGGCAGCGCCACGTGTGTCGAATAGCCAGATGATCTGGAAAAAATTGTTTTTTGTATCTGATATTAAACAGAAATTACCTCTTTATAGACATAATTGCATTAAATATGTATTTATTTTTATTCTTGGCTATATTTAAAGTATGAATTCTTATTCTGTGCTCTGAACTCTCTCTGTGTTTCTACACTGGGTCATACTATTATTGTGTTCTAATATCATGGTGTTCTTTAAAGTACCACGTAAATACCATAAATACGTGAACATGGTCGTCATTAATTATTGTGGTATGTGTAAAATACTATTACTATCGGGTAGCATCACTTGGTCCAACGACAGTACTTTAAATGACAGTATAAATTTAATATTTCAGTTCATTGATGCACGTCTGTTAAAATCTTGTTTTTATGCTGCAGAATTCCTCTACATGATATTCAGAAAATCTGATATAGTGCTGTTAAATCTGATGTTTATTGTCTTCTCAGATCTACAATGAGAAAGAACTTCTCCAAGGGAAGCTGGATCTTCTCAGCGACACTAACATGGTGGACTTTGCCATGGATGTATATAAGAACCTCTATTCTGACAAAGACATTCCACATTGTAAGAGTTTTTCCCTTTCTACCTAAATATACACAGTGTACAGAGTTAAATAAAATCATATCCAGATCTATAGTGAAGATTTTCACCGCAAAAAATAGTGCAGTACTATACGCTGCATGTATATTATACATATATTAATTTTACTCTGCAGCATTAAAGGAGAAAAGAACCACAGTGGTGGCCCAGCTGAAGCAGCTCCAGTCTGAAACTGAGCCTATTGTTAAGATGTTTGAAGATCCAGAAACTCAGAGACAGATGCAGTCCACCAGGTTTTCTGTCATCATATTACTGTTTACTGCTTCTTGAAATATAATTTCTGTTTGATTTGATTGGCTGTTATGTAAGCATCCTAACATATGCAAAGTCACCACTGCTATGCACATTTTTTTTTCTTAGAGATGGGAGGATGCTGTTTGAATATTTAGCAGACAAACATGGTGTAAGTTTTGCAACTATAACCAGTTATCCTTATCCAATTATATCCTTTTTATTTTCAGGGAAGCTAATTAACAGCTTATTGCATCGTTGAATATTTCATTCCATCAGTGATTTGCTCTATCTGTTTATTCCCTCAGTTTCGTCAGGAATATTTGGATACGCTGTACCGTTATGCTAAGTTCCAGTATGAGTGTGGCAACTACTCGGGGGCCGCAGAGTATCTTTACTTCTTCCGTGTGCTTGTAAGTGTTGTTGTTTATGTCAACAAGACCGCTAGTGTTTTAACCTCTTTTTTTTTTTTGGTTCATTTGATTTGTGAAGTGTGAAATAGACTCTGAAATTACTGCCTTTGGCAGAAATGTAGGAACAAATTAATTTGTTTCTTTCCTGAGTGCTTTAACGGCTTTTGTTTTTAGTAATTTATCTGAACAAACAACTGGAAACAGTACCTTTGGATGTTTAAAAAGGTCATTAAACAAACATAAGCAAAAGTATTATGCATTGTAAATGTTTTAAAAAATGCAAAAATAGGTTTGCTTATATTAGGGTACGTCTGACTTTTTTTTAAATAAATAAAAATATATTTATATTTATTTTAAAAAAAATTATACAATTCTTTGTGATATTTAAACCACATACTATTCAAAAGTTTAGAGTCAGTAAGAATTTTTAGCAAGGAATTAATAATTTTATTCAGCAAGGATATATTAAATTGATTCATTTCAAATAAATGCTGATCTTTTGAATGATCTATTCATCAAGGAATCCAGAAAAATTAAACATTAATTGTAATAACAAATGTTTCTTGAGCACCTAATCAGAATATTGGAATGATTTCTAAAGATTTATGTGAAACTGAAGATATGAGTAATGACTGCTGAATATTCAGAGCTGTAGGTTTAATATTGTGTCGTAAACCAATCGAGACATGACAATTCATTTTACATCAATGCTAAAGCAACAATATATCAGAGAAATACATAGCTATGGGAGTGGGATTTTGTACCATTGAGATTTCACTGTGAAAAATAACAGAGAAATTGATACTGACAATATGCCTCGTTGTCATGACCAGGTTCCCTCCACGGACAGGAACGCTCTGAGCTCTCTCTGGGGCAAACTGGCATCCGAGATCCTCATGCAGAACTGGGAGGCAGCCATGGAGGACCTGACACGTTTACGAGAGACCATCGACAACAACGTATGTCTGTCTGGCATCCTTTAAACCTCTGTCATCAGCTGGAGAAATCCAATATCCTTCCCACTGGTTAATTTGCTGGATCACCCATGTTCCTTTGAGCTCAGATATAACAGTCCTTTAGCAGACGACGGGCATTAGATCAACTATACACTAGGGCTGTGCGATTTGGGGGAAAATATCAAATTGCGATTTTTTTGACAGATATTGCGATTGCGATTTGATTTGCGATTTTACATTTGCAAAGTCAAGCTTCAGCTCAATATTGTCAATAATGTGCAGCACAGTATGGGTATCATTACCCTGCTGAAAAAAACAATAGAAACCACAGAAATTAGTATAGTTTCCATTAAACCATTACAAAATTCCTTTTTGTTTTGGGCATTATTCCAATAGGAATTACTGTTGTTCTATTGGTTGCCATCTGCCAGATTACATCCCACCAATAGAATCCATCATATAGACCCCATTATAGTTGACATTAAAACCAAACAAATTCCCATTATAACCCTGAAATCCATAACATTTTTTATTGTGTTTTGGGAGGGGTTCTATTGTTTTTTTTTTCAGCAGGCAAGATTATAATGGTATAACTACTTTTACAGAATAAACTTAATTACTGAATTTCACAGAAAATATTTGTTTATTTTTTATAAATAAAGAACTGTATTTCTTAAGTCAATTATTAAAGTATTACATATGTTACATAGGCTGATTTATTCATTTTAAGTATTTGGGATTTTAAGAACAAGTGGAAAATGTGCTGAATGTTTCATTTCATCCAAGTGAAATTAGAAAGCAGTTAGACTGAATTTACATTCGTTTTAAACGCGGAGCCAGGCGCGAGTCGACACAGGTTGCGCGCGTGCGTCAAGCCTCATCCATACTGCCAGATGCGCTCGTGAAGACTTGCGGTGCGGAGCCGGGTGCGAGTATAAACCAGCATTACGAGACAGGCTGCGTGAGTGCGGCAAACATTAACGGCTCGTCCGTGACGCGGGATTCGCGCCGCGTGGGGCAGAGAGGAGCGAGTATGAGAAGCATTCACAGACACAGGCTGTGTGTGCGCTCTTCTGAATTGGGAATAGCCAACATGCATTATAAACTTATTTCAAATTAATCTGTTGGGGAGATAAAATGTGTAAGATAACGTTCACGTACTAACAAAAACATCTAAGAATGCATCTTTTATTCTCCAGTACTGAAAACAGAACCGATAAGGGAGCTTTTGATATGCGCTGTGACGCAGCTCTTGCAAATGACCGTTTTTGTTCATTGCCTGTCATTTCGAAGCTTAAGTTGCATGCGTTTTTTTTGTGTTTTAATTTGCCTAACTATCGATCTGACCCAGTAGACGCCATATCCCACACAAAATTGACCAGGATGACATTTACATTGCATCAGCTCTAAGAAGTAAATGCTTGGCATTTTTATTTGCGGTGAAGTCAAAGATGGATGCGTGTGGGTTTACTACAGCCGCGTTTGCTTTGCTAGTCCATGCTTGTAACATCAACAGTGTGACATAAGTAAGACTGAAGCAGTGTTGACATTTTTTTAATTAAACCATGTTTTTCTTTCCTGCCTCGGTTCAGTCGGTGAGTTCTCCTCTTCAGTCGCTGCAGCAGAGGATGTGGCTCATACACTGGTCTTTGTTTGTCTTCTTTAACCACCCCAAAGGCAGAGACAACATCATCGAGCTGTTCCTCTATCAGCCCCAGTGAGTACGATTACAGAAATTCCCTCTTCCGCTATAACAAGCGCTCTCAAATTGCTCATTAAAGAATGTAGAAGTTCAACACACTACATTTGCATAAATTTATGTCACTTGCTTAAGGGACTTGCCAGGAAGTGTGAGATGTGTTTGCAACAATTACTTCAGAGAGGGTAGCTGGAAAATTAGCTGTTAATGAGATTTGCTCTTGAAAGCGTACATTTTTTTTTTAATGAGGAACAGTGCATGTTTGCGTGACCATGTAATGAACACCGCTCAGTCTGAGCACTTTGAAGATGACGCACTCTGTGTTGAGTGATGGAAGGACCACTGTGATGTAATATTAAAACAGGAGCCAGTCAAAGCAGATTTCGTTGACGAAATGTCCACTGCTTTTTTTATTTCTTTTTTTATTCGTGGTTAGTAAATGTTAATTTGCATTTTGATTTATTTTTAGGACAAGATATCAATACTGGTTTCCTGAATCGATATGGTTCAGTTTCTCAATTCTGAATCTGATTCAGATTCTAAATTGTTTCAGTTTGGAATATTTCAGTTGTTACAAAATATTATAAATAATTTTTCAGGTATTATAAAATATAAAAATGTAAAAAAAAAACACTAGATTTCAAAAGTTTGGGGTCAGTAAGATTTTTGAATGTTTTTGAAAGATGTCTCTTATGCTCACCAAGGCTGCGTTTATTTGAACATTGTTACATCCTAACACTCGCCTATCATTCATCGACCTCAAATATGGCTCATCATCTGAAATATGTAAGTAGTAGCAACTTTACACGGCCGCTCAATCTAATGTTAACCTAGAGAAATGTGCGCTATTCAAGTGTCTGAACAGTAGCGCTCACAGCAGGACAGATGGAGGCGCTCACTTGCTCTTAAAATACTTCATCATTTTTGTCATACAGATAAGAGTAATACATCTTTCGAATCTGTAAAGCCTCTACGTTTATTTGTGTGCACTCACAATAACAACAAAACATTGCGCTTTTGTAAAATAATGAAAGCAAATAGGATGCGCTTTCTGCCGTCTCGGCCTCTCTGAACTTGAGCGCAAAACTCCGTGTATACTTGCCTTACAGACATGAAAAATATATCTATAGAGAGTGAAATGTCTAATTTCAAATGAAACTATTCAAATCTGAAAAAAACAAATATTCTCCGATTATGTAATCCGAATGAAATTTGCATGCAGGCGCATCCACTACTGTGGAGATGACGAGTCAGTGTCGCCGAATTCATCAACATCAATTATTTGAAATAGAAATGTTTTGTAACATTATTAATGTCTTTACTGTTACTTTTGGTCATATTAATGCATCTTTGCTGAATAAAAGTATAGATTTCTTTAAAAAGCATTTACTGACCCCAAGCCTTTTAACGGTAATTTATAAAGTATTTTGTAAAACTGATAGTTGTCTGTTTCTCAGCTACCTGAACGCAATTCAGACTATGTGCCCTCACATTCTGCGCTACCTGACCACGGCCGTAATCACCAACAAAGACGTGAGAAAGCGACGACAGGTCCTCAAAGACCTGGTCAAGGTCATCCAACAGGTCAGCATGAAGCCTGCAAATTTAACTAGACAGTGGATTGCCTAAATGTCTAGTGGGTATATATTTAGAATGAGCTTTATCAGAATGAGCTTTTACTCTGGTTTAGGCCAGCCAAACACCAACCAGATATGTTTGTTAGCCATATATGAACAAATTGGATAATTTGATCTCATAAATGTTTCATTGTTAAATATAGATTTTACTGCATTCATTGATTGTCAAATCGTGTGGACCACACCGGTGTATGATGCTTTCAGATTTTTATGTTAAAAATGAACTATCGAAGTAACATCATACTAAAAATAAATATTATGGTAGCTGTAAATTAATCTACATCAATAGCAACATTAACACATTAATTTCAATATTAAAGATTAAATCAATATTGAAGACAAGATGTAGATAAACCAGCTGGTTAAAGGGATAGTTCACCCAAAAATGAAAATTCTGTCATTAATTACTCACCCTCATGTCACCCAGATTCTTTAAAAAACTTTATTCAACAATTCGTCTCCTCCGTATCACCCTGTAGTGCCATTTTGGAGAGTATCAGCTGGGCGTAAACAACGTATGCTGTTCTGTGTCGAATTGTTGAATAAAGTCGTTTTTTTTTTTTCTTTTTCTTTTGCGCACAAAAAGTATTCTCGTAGCTTTGTAAAATTACAGGTCCCCTGATGTCGAATGGATTATTTTACAGATCTCCTTGCTACATTTCTGGACTTGGGAACATTTCATTTGTATTGCTGTCTATGCAGGGTCAGACAGCTCTCAGATTCCATCAAAAATATCTTAATTTGTGTTCCGAAGATGAACAAAGGTCTTACGGGTTTGAAACGACATGAGGGTGAGTAATTAATGACAGAATTTTCATTTTTGGGTGAACTAACCCTTTAACCATCCCTTGATCACGCATGCTAATATGCACACAACAGTAGTGTTTTTATGAAAGGAGCATCTGAGCTGAAAGAGTTTATTTCAGTTTGGGTTGTTGTGAAGATTGACCTCTTTATGGTTCAGATGAATGAGCGCACAGATTCTCCTTTGAGGTTCGTAGCTCGACATGCGCTGTTGCATTCCATTACATTCATACTAGATGTGTTTCCTTTAAGTATTGATTCAGAGCTCGTGAATTAGTGTCTCTTTTAAAAGTAGTCGTCAGAGTGCTTCTTGGGGCGCTGCCACATTTTATACCCATGACTTTGGCACTTGCTGTCAAATTAGAAAGAGATTAATGTTCCTCTCTGCTTTTGCTCTCTCAACAGGAGTCATACACGTACAAGGATCCTATCACAGAGTTTGTGGAGTGCCTCTACGTTAACTTTGATTTCGACAGCGCTCAGAAAAAACTGAGAGAGTGCGAGTCGGTAAGGTTCATCACCCACTGCGTGTGTATAATGCAGCTACCAGGGCTGTCATCCTTGTGATTCCCTCTGTACACTGCTTCCCTCTGTTTGAATCGGTTGGAGACGAGCATTGATAGGTGCTTTGCTTGGAGCCATAGGTCCATTCATCCACTGAAAATCCCTGTCTACTGTAATTTACTGCTGTTTCCCACTAGGCTTTTCAAGGCGTTTCTTCTGTCAGTTTTCAGACCTACAGCTATGAGGCAGCTCCACTCTTAGACGTGGCCTAGTTGGGCCAGTGGGAGCGTTCAGCATTCAGACCTGTGAAAGCATAATCTCCCCTGCCTTTTCACCAGTTTCAGTTTATGTCTCAGGGATTTGTGTCTATAAAAGCTGATCTAGGTTCTACGGTGATCTAGGGTGTTTTTATTTTATTTAAAGAGAAAAAAAGTCTAGTGGGGGTAAATTCATATATAAATAAATATACATTATGTTTGTAGATACCATTCAAAATTTTAGGGTCAGTAATTTATTTTTATTTTTTTTTAAATTTAATTAATAATGAATAGTTCAAAAGTGACATTAAAGTCTTTTACATTCTTACAAAAAAACCTCTATTTTAAATAAATGCAGTTTTTTTTTAAACATTCTATTTATCAAGGAATCCTTTAAAATTGTATCACGGTTTCCAATAAATATTAAGCAGAACAGCTGTTTTCAAAATTGATAAGAAATGTTTTTGAGCATCAGCATAACATAATGATATCAGCATGTTAAAATGAATTCTGAAGTAGTGCTGGGCGGTATGACCAAAAATTTATATCACGGTATTTTTCAAAATTATACCGGTTTCACGGTACATGACGGTATTTTTTTTTTCATGCATGACCGGGTGTTAACCATATTTTCTACTGATTGAGAGAGGAAATACTGCAGTATATTGACTTAGAATGCCCTATTTTACTGGTTTATCCAAAAAAGTCGTTAGGTTTGTCAGTATATATATTCTATGGAAAAAAAAGCCGCTAAAATGGTCTGAAAGTTGCTAAATCTAGTGCTAAAGCGTTGCGCTCGTGTGTGTGTGAGACGCAGGAGCTGATGGCAGGAGGCGGTGGATATTTGTGGCAGTCAATGTGGATATTGTGGACGAGTTCTTCTGTGTCATCACGTTCTATTAGTTCTACAGCTTCAGTTTTGGAAACTTTCACGCTTGTTTAAGCGTTTAAGCGACATATTGCGGTATTTTAAAAATTCATATCATAACAAAAATAAACACCGGTATTCGGTATGAACCGGTATACCGCCCAGCACTATTCTGAAGTATCATGTGACACTGAAGACTGGAGTAATTTTTTTTTATCACAGGAATAAATTACATTTTACAATATGTTAAAATAAAAAACAGGTATTTTAAATTTTACTAATATTTCACAATATTACTGTTTTAATGTATTTTTGATCAAATAAATGTAGCCTTGGTAAGCATAAGAGACATCTTTCAAAAACATTAAAAAAATCTTACTGATTCCAAACTTTTGAACTGTTGTGTATGTATAGTGGTTATATGTGTTTTATTTGCTTTTACACGGATGCTAATGGCTGTTATTTGTCTTTAATAATCAAGCTTATCTACTGTCAGTTAATTAAAATTAAATGCTAATGTGTTCAGTAATAATTCAAGCAGTGTTGTTTTTTTTCCCCCAATTCTGTTTGTGCCGCTTGTGTGCAGAAATTACACACTTTTCTGTTAAAGTTTAGTGAAGAAAAAGTCTTAATTTACTCTTAAATCTCATTTATACTTTTTTAAAAATAGAAAATTCTGTTAATTTTAAACAGACTGTTTAAAAATACATAATTCAGTCTCAATGCCTTTCAGTGGAACATCAACAACACTTACACAACTTTCAAAGCAGATCATTTGAATGGATTTTATTGTTTTCAATGTGTTTTATTTGCTTTTACACGGATGCTAATGGCTGTTATTTGTCTTTAATAATCAAGCTTAACTACTGTCAGTTAATTAAAATTAAATGCTAATGTGTTCAGTAATAATCCAAGCAGTGTTGTTTTTTTCCCCCCAATTCTGTCTGTGCCGCTTGTGTGCAGAAATTACACACTTTTCTGTTAAAGTTTAGTGAAGAAAAAGTCTTAATTTACTCTTAAATCTCATTTATATCATTTGAATGGATTTTATTGTTTTCAAGGTGCTGGTGAACGATTTCTTCTTGGTGGCCTGCTTGGAGGATTTCATTGAAAATGCGCGGCTGTTCATCTTTGAGACGTTCTGCCGGATCCATCAGTGCATCAGCATCAGGTAGTGCCGCCTCCCAGGAGGAATCCTGATAGACCAGTGTGCGCTAATCCTCTTAGCGCTGTAAAAAGAGCGTAGCGTGCTGCGATTATTCAACACGCTGCCAGGATCAATGGACTCCAACCAAATCTGACAAAAGCTGAGCGACTTCACAATAGTGTACATTCTAGCGATCGAACTTGAAGGAAAGCAAGATTGCGATAGATGCGAGTACAGCAGTGGGTTTACAGATCAGTGTTATTTTAGTATCATTAATAGTTTAGTTTTATTTTTTCTATCTTCTGTTTTTAATTATTTTAATTTTAATGTTTTATTTGTTATACAGATTTTTATTTAAAATTTAATTTTGTAATTTTTATTTTGGTTTTAGTTATTTTAGTACATCAAGTTAAACTAACTAACTGAAATAAAACAAGTTTATATTTTTTATATCATTTAATATTTCTAGTAACAAATGTTTAATGGTTCTAGTTAACTGTAATAACTCTGTTACAGATGTTATTTTGATGTTTGTTAACATTTCCTTTGAACAGCACTATTTGTGCCGGGAGCCCTGTTGTTTTCACATTCAATCGTAGAGATGGTGGTGCGACTTAATTCGTCATCAGCTTTTGTTTATCACACCGATTGATTTTTATCAAGACTGTTCGAACTCTTGTTTGAAGACGAGAGCTACAGCTTGTTGTTGACCTCAGGCAATCTCTGCATTTCTCATTTTGTCCCTCTCACCCATCGCTCTTCCTGTCTCTGGGCAGCATGTTGGCAGATAAGCTGAATATGACCCCCGAGGAGGCCGAGAGATGGATCGTAAACCTGATCCGCAATGCCAGACTGGATGCCAAAATCGACTCTAAACTGGTGAGCGAGCTCTGGGGTGCAGAACACATGTCTGAACACAAAACCCATTAGATTGAGATGCAATAAGACTCCTTCCGACAGTGAAAGTGGGCTTTTTGTTTGTTCATTGTTTAACTAAGGTGCACATAGCCTAGAGCAATTTTACTTTATGAAATGATAAGTCTTAACATTTGAAATGTATTTGTAATTTATCTTTTAGATTCACAAGCTGAATATAATCCCTTAAAGTGATAGCTGACCCAAAAATTACTCACCCTCATGTTGTCTCAAACCTGTGATTTTCTTGGTAACACTTTACAATAGGGTCCTGATTGATAATATTAGTTAACTAGATTAGTTAACATGAACTAATAAACAGTTGATCCTCGATTTCCTTTCTAGACACCGAACTGGGCGGCTCAAGACACTGGCTTCTATTAGACTGGAAACACAAGGCAAACAGTGGATTACTCCTCAACCTCATCTTAGTATTTAACTAACAATCTTTTATTTAGTCACGTTTCATATTAGGAGCATTTTTACAAAAGATTGATGGAGACATTTCCAGCATGACAAAAGCTACGGAGTTCTGGGGTGTTTCCGTGAACTTTATGTATTCTGTATGAAGGAAGGAATTTACCAGGCAAGATTTTATTTATTATTCCAGTTCTGTGTAATCTCAAAGGACATTTTTCTTTTCCCTTATGCGAGTCATTGTTTTGAACATCATAACACGACAATAAACAGTGAAAGTGTGTTTCTGAACACATTTTCAAGGATCTTGCAACATACTTCTGGAATCTTTTATGGTTAAAGGTGAAGTGTGTAATTTTGGTGTCATTATCGGGAGCAAATAATAAGGATTGTTTCCAAAAAGGTTCTACTATTGTTTCATCTTTAAAGACATTGTTGTCATGTGAGACCACTCACAGAAACATTTTTAATAGATAACTCGTAGTTGAGTTATCCTGAAAAAGGTATGGAAATTACAAATCTTAAAAGGTCCTGGAAGTTTCTGTTGCTAAAAGTTCAAAAGTTTAGGGTCAGTAAGATTTTTAAAAATGTTTTTGAAAGACATCTCTTATGCTCACCATGTGAAATCAGCAATATTGTGAAATATTACAATTCGTTTTCCATTTTAATATATTTTATAATGTAATTTATTCCTTTGATGACAAAGCTGAATTTTCAGCAGCCATTACTCCAGTCTTCAGTGTCACATGATACTTCAGAAATCATTCTAATATGCGGATTTTGTTCTCAAGAAACATTTCTTATTATTATTATCAATGTTTAAACAGTTATACATAGATTGTTCCAAAATGTATTACAAATAAAAGGGTTCTTAATTTTAAGTTATTTTTTTCTCTCACTTTTGCTGAATAAAATAATTTTCTTTCCAACAAACAAACAAAAATAAAAAACAAGAACCACAAACCTTACTGACCGCAAAACTTTAGAACTGTTAATAGAAAACCATTCAAAAGCATTTCATTCTTATCTTTTAGGAGCAGTCTTCCAAAAAAGTAATAAAATAAATGTATACAGTCAACAGAAATGAATGAAAAAGGCTTTGAAAATCACACAAATTCATAGGTCATAAAGTGTGGAAGCCCTGTATCAAGTCTGTGGTGATAATCTTTCAGTAATGGCAAGAATATGCATAAGCAATGTCTCAGCTCATGTTTCATCCACTAGGTGGCAGCAGTGACTAACTTTTCCACCATTGTCTTGCTACTCACCCAAAGACAGCCACAAACCAGTCATTACCAGCTGCCTGACTGATCATCATCTCTTTTAAAGCTTTCTTGATTTTCCAGTGTGTTTACAAGCCCAAACCTAAGGATGTTGGGCATCTGTGTTTGATTTGGGGGGGGGGGGACCAGGTAATTTTGGGCCAGAGGTTGAAAAAACAGGGTGTGTGTTGTCAAAGCAGCTAACCAAGATGGAAAGATCCTGTTGTGACTCATAAATGACCAGCTTCCTCTGAATGACATATTTTCCTTTGGTTATTTTTATATTTCATCCAAAGTCCAGACAAAATGCTTGTGGAAAATGTGCTGTTTAGAACTTACTGTATGCATGTTTCCTGGAAGCAGATCAGTTGTTCTATTAAGCAAAATAGAAACTGTAATGCATCCACACTACCGTTCAAAAGTTTGGAATAATTACGATTTTTCAATTAATTGATTTTCATATGCTTACCAAGACTGCATTTATTTGATCAAAAATGCAGTAATGTGGAAAAATTATGACAATTTAAAAGAACTTTTAGAGTAATACTATATTTTATAATGGCTATAATGGCAAAGTAGAATTTTCAGCATTCATGATCCTTCAGAAGTCATTCTAATATGCTGATTTGGTTCTCAGTTTTTATCAATTATTAATAATGATTCTTATATAAATTTTGTTTTTGCGGCTTTTTTTTTTTTTTTAAGTGAGTCTTAACGTCTTTAACCATGGAAGTCACACTTAAAAATGTGAAAATGATTCTAGAGAACTTCTCAGAACTAACTAACCATTTTAGCAATAACTAAATCCTGCTGTCTTGTTTTTTTGGTTTGTTTTAGTTTTTTAAGTGGATGTACGTAATCAGTTCCGTGTGACTAGTGTCCAAACCCATTTTAAGGCCACTGTTTACATTCATTTATCTCCATGTTCTCAGTGTTTATATGCGCACACAAGTGATCTACGTTGTCGCTTTAAAGTGCCTCGGGTGCATTTCTTTGCTACTACCTACCATTAACCAACAGGTCTCAGAGCCGGAGTGAAATGAGGGTGTGTGTGAGTGAGAGATGTTTTGCCCTGGGAGTGGCTGCTGGATAATGCAGGCAGGGTTGCGAGTGCCGCTCGGCTCAGAGAAGAAAACGCACACGCTCGTATACGCACTCCTCCAGAGCTGACGTGGGTTGTGGCCTTGCACAGCTGCTGCCCATCTGCCACTGAGAAGCTGCCACAGGAGCTAGAATAGAGGAAAGAGGGAGTAGACCGAGAGGGGAAAAGGAAAAGTGGCTAAGTATGGACGCGCTGCAAGATTGGGCCCTGGTGTACCCGGCTCTGGCCCGGGAGCTCTGGGTGATTGTGTTGGTATTGGCCACCGTCCTGGTTTGGAGCTTGTTCTTTTGCTGCTGGGGAAACCAAAGCTCCACCTCCCCTCTGGAGAGATACCTCTCAGGTAATATAGCTGCTTTTATTCTCACTCAGCTGTCTGGAATCAGTTCTTAAGCTCTTTCCAGAGCAGTAGTAGTTTTAAGAGAGTTTGAGGAAGAAAAAAAAAGTTTTTACAGTGGAAACAATAAGCTGGTTTTCCATGACTGGCTGCTTTTAGTGTGCACAGGATGGAAAAGTGGTTGAGTTGTATGTTCACTGTCATGGACGTCATCTGAAGGGGTGTGCTGAATCCTCAAATCACAGTTTACTATTTAAATTGGATGTACTAATTGTAGCTTTCAGTGAAATCTGTGTATTCTTTGAATAAATGAAACACATTTCCGTAGGTTTTCACAAAGGTAGCAGCCATGTGTTTAAAAGAAACATTCGAGGGTCTGAAAGAGTGAAGCAGCAGTTCACATAACAAGACTAGTTCCTTCTGAGATCTGGGGTCAAGGTTCAAAGCAGGCTCAGTCTTGCTGTTTGAATGATTACTGTGACAGAGGTTTTGACAGTTCTACACAATGTTAACCTACTTGCCAGCGTGTTTATATATACATATTCAGTATTTCGGGTGGGCAGATCTCATAGTGTAATATCCTCCGCATGCACTTCCGTTACCTAAATTAATAATCTGTTTCTGTTTCAGCCATGGAGAGACAGTCAAAGACAAAACACCAGAGCCAGGTACGTCATCGCTCTATTATCAAGTTAATGATGCTGATATGATATAGGACAGATCCTTGTGGCACTCCATATTTTACTATTCAGTACATTCACATAACCCAAATTTTGTTCATTTCCCAGCTGAAATATGTGTAGTGTAAACATAAATTCTCAGTTATGTTCAGGATGGAATAAAAGCATACTCCATACTGCAGCGAATGCACTGCATACTATCATTTTACCATGTTTACAATTGGTATCCAGAGCAGTATGTAATGGTAAAGGTTTAAAACTGTAGCATGTTACAAAGATTTCCTCCAAAATATTAAGCAGCTCAACTGTTTTCAACATTGATAATAACAAGAAATGTTTCTTGAGCACCAAATCAGCATATTAGATGATTTCTGAAGGGTCATGTGACACACAAGACTGTAGTTATAAGCAGTGTTGGGGGTAACGCATTACAAGTAATCGGATTACTTTTTTCCAAGTAACTAGTAAAGTAACTCATTACTTTTTAATTTACAAGAGAATATTTGAGTTACTTTTTCAAATTCCCAATTTATTGATTGACAGCTCTCCTGTCCCCATGTTGAGAGAAATCAGATGTTACTGTAGTTCTAAAATAAATATGAATATGCATTAATTCATCTCACTCACAAAAAAAAATAAAAAATCAGTATTGCTCAAAATGAATAAAAATAATGCAACTCAGAATGACGCAAACCTGCAATAATTAAATGTTAAACAACACAAATATCCTTTATTGTATTTAATCCCATTCTATTAACCAATGTCTTTGCTTCTGACCTTCGATGATCCAATTCAACCGTACTAATAAGCACAAATTACTCTAGACAAACATTTGTGTGTCTTTTTTT